TAGCAAAATTACAGTTATGAAATAGCAACAAAAATAGTTTTATAAGGTTTGGGGGTCACCACAACATGAGGAGCTGTATGAAAGGGTTGCGGCATGAGGAAGGTTGAGAACCACTGGCCTAGTAGGTTACATGTGGACTGCAAGGTTCAAACCCACCAACCACTCCACAGGAGAAAGGTGAGGCTGTCTGCTCCCAGAAAGATCTACAGCCTTAGAAACCCACGTGGGCAGTTGTCCTCTGTCCGGTCATTGTGAGTCAGAATTAACTCATTGGAAGCCAGTTTGGTTTGTTTTTATCATGGATATCGTGTAATTAGTTAACCTGGTGTTCTTACTTTTCCTTAGTCTATAAGAGAAATGGCTGGCCTGGAATACAGTCTAAATTGTCCTATTTACACATAGAGAGTTCAACTTAGAATTGTTTGCACGGACCAGAAGCAGCCCTCCCTCCCTCCAACCCGAAGCACATGCTGTGCCTGGCTTCTTCTGTTTTAAATGCAAAGGGGTGTCAGAGACTGGAGTGGCGTGCTGGCAGTGGCGCGCAGACTTAGCATTGTAAGTAAATGCCATGGACGGAGGGTTTTGTTTTGTGTGTGCTAATGGCGTGGTATAAGTTGCACTGTTCTGAGGTACATTAAGTAAACTACATGTTCATGTTAGTCTGGTGCTTAGTTTCTACTCGTTTCGTGGATTTTTCCTGACCGTGAATTGAGCTGCTGTGTGCAGAGGCCTGGACAAGGTGTGCCGGGAGGTGTAAAACAGCCTATCCCAGGCCCATACGCGTCTCAGACCTAACTGCAGAGAAGACAGCCCTCGGGAGAGGCCTGAGCATGTTTGTGCAGAAGCGGCACAGTGCAGTGTTTAGGAGCATGGGCCCTGCAGCCAGCCAGACAGGGGCTCCAGTCCTGACTCCCCCGCTGACCAGCTCTGCCATTGTGGCCTCCTCGTCACTTGTTCTCCGAGCTTCACTGTTGCCATCTTTAAGATGAAGAGAGAGTTCCTGGCAGTTATAAATACTGGCTTTAAAAATAAGTTGGTTGCCTGTATGATCACGAGGTGTTGAAGGGATCAGGTATCAGGCATCAAGGAACAAAAAAATCATTATCATTGCGAATGAGGGGGAGTGCAGATTAGGGACCCAAAACCCACCTGTGGACAACTGGACATCCCCTTACAGAAGGGTCGCGGGGAGGATACTAGCCAGTCAGGGTGCAATGTAGCAATGATGAAACATATAACTTTCCTTTAGTTCTTAAATGCTTCCCGCCCACCCCCCCCACTATCATGGTCCCAATTCTACCTTACAAATCCGGCTGGACCAGAAACACAGGGAATCCTGGATAGATTAACCCATCGGGACCAGTGGTGAGAGTAACAATACTGGGAGG